GTTTTACAGACTGTTATTGTGGCTTTCCTGGTTCTGTTCATGATGCCAGTTTTCAGAAATTCTGAAGTGATTCAGAAACTTAATGGTTCTTCTTTATCAGATTATCACATTGTGGGAGATACTGCCTACCCACTTATTGTGTCATTGATGGTACCATTTAAAAATAATGGTCACCTAACTGCTCAAATGCATACATATAATAATAAGCTGTCAAAAAGCAGAATTGTTATTGAGAGGAGCTTTGCATTATTAAAAGGAAGATTTAGACGGTTAAAATATTTTGATGCAAATAAAACATCAATGTTGCCTCTCTACATATTATCAGCCTGTGTACTTCATAACATTTGTTTGATGGCAGGGGATGATTTTGATGAATTTGACACAGTTAATTGTGATGATGAAACTCTTGAAACTGAATCATCTAATATACAATATAACAGTGCTGCTCAAAGAAAAAGACAACATATTTCTGATAGTTTCTAAGCTATCAGAAATCATGTTTGATAATTACAGTATTTCTGTACAATGTAATATCTGTTTAGAAAATTATTCTTTGTCATGTCATTTCATAGAAAAATAAAAGTTTTCACGTTGAGTTCACAAATGATGATTTAAATATTTTAGTGATTTATATACAATTAATTTAATCACTGTAAAGCAACTTAAAACACAAACTATAAATCAATATTTTATTTATAAAATATAACTGTTTTACAATTTATCGATTAACTGTTGTAATTTTTCTAATAATAATTTTTTTATTTGCATATTTTCTTCGTGGCGTTTTTCGACAGTAAGTCTGTAATTCTTAAACCATTCGGGTTCTTGTTCTTTTCTGCACTTTTTGTTTGCAGATGCTTTATGTGATGAAGTTTCCTGAGTTGTATTATTTCCATTTTCTGTTATGGCAACAGAATTATTGAATCCGTAAGAACTAGCAAACGAAACAGGCTGTACCGCTGGATCCTTTTCAAAAATTTCATCCAATTCAGCCATATAACGGCACTTCCTCCTGCTCGACCCACTTTTATTATTATTATCTTTTATTATTTTATAATTATTTTTTAAAGATTTAAATTTATTTTTGCACTGAAGTGCTGTTGCGGAATAGCCATAGCTTTTAAAGCTATTGGCTATTTTTTCCCACACTTGTTTATTTTTTAAATAAGGAGAAGAAAACATGCTCTCATTTATTTTATATTGATTGAGAAGCAAGTGTGTTGTTTCATCATTCCAATTGAATGAGACAGACTGACTTCCAGGTGCTTTATCTGTTCTTTGTCTTATGTTTGGATCAACTGAAAACATAAATAATTTAATTATATTTACTGCTTATGTTTAGAAAGTATATAGATGTGTTTAATCACATTTTAGATGAGACAGATCTAAATTTGATCAAGCTAAACATTAAGATTACTATAGTTTTTAAATTAAAAATGTCTATTTTAAAAGCAAAATGCTTAGATTTGTACAACAAAATAACACTTAGCTTGTTCAAATTAATCTCCATATAAGTAGTAAAATATTCTAATTAAAACTGATATTAATATGAATTGATTTATTA